AAGAAGACATGATAATGCAACAGAAATAAATTTAAAAAGAAATTATATTAGGAGAAAGATGGGGGGAAAAGGTCATAATAGAGGCAACAGTTTATGATAAATATCCTAAATATCTGAGTTAATAATTTAAAAAAGTTTGAGAAAACCACATAAGTAAAAAGAATGAATAAATTATGCAAAATAAAAGACTGAACCAAAATTAGATGTAATATTATAGATATGAAGAAAAAACAGAAATCTAGGGTAAATATTACCAGTATCTTACCAAAATAATTTACACATTGCATATAACTGAAGTTATAATACAGTCAACCCATAACAAATTTTAATAGAAACAACTTGGAAAAGGAGAAGTAAAATAATAAAATATTGGCTATAATTATGGTATTAATCAAATTAAAGATGGAATTTAAAACTTTAAAAACTGAAGTTGTGGTAGTAGAAACAATGTATTTATATAATGCAATTTTTAAACTATAAACTACCTAATATAAAAGTAGTTTGTTAATAAAAGCTTATATAAATACTTCCATAACTTTTTAAAATTTTCTTTTATTATTATTATTTTCAGTTAGCCAACATGTAGTACATCATTAGTTTTTGGGGTAGTGTTCAATGATTCATTAGTTGCCTATAACACCCAGTGCTCATCACAGCATGTGCCTCCTTAATACCCATCATCCCACTACCCCGTCCCCCCACTTCCCTCCTTTCTGTAACCCTCAGTTTAGTTCCCAGAGTCCAGAGTCTCTCCCACTTTTCTCCCTCTGTTCTGCATTATTCTTTTCATCAAGGGAGGAGTTTAGAAATAAATGTCCCAGAATCACTTTCCATGTTTACTTTTAGTTTAGTGTCTGTCACTGAGAGGAACTCACTCAAGAGGCAGAAGCCTTTACTTTCACTGGCGGTTACAGGCAGTCAGACAGCAAGCTCTTGTGATCTCCTGGTCAGGTGCTGCAGGCAGCTGAGGTACTTTGTGGCAGCTTTTCTGCTATTCTTGAAATTCACATCTGTTGCAGTTGCAAGTGAACTACTTCTGTTCTGCAGGCAGCAGTGATATCCGAGAGTGGTCAGAATCTTTAGTGGTACAAACAACTGAAATGATCTGCTGCTACTTTACTGTCCCCCCTACTTATACTTCCAGTGCTAAGTGAGCCTCTAATTTCCTGAGTCAGAACTCTCCCTCCTATAAACATTTACAGTAGCTTCTGCTTTCCTGCCTGATCCCTGGCTGGTTCGATTATTTCTTCATTCCTATAATTGAGATACTGAGAAAAATTATATTTAATGTTATAAAGGTAACCACTAGTAAAACTAGGCTACAATTCTAAATTATGAAAGAGTGGGAAACATGGGAAATGTGGAAAAACTTTGGACAAAACACATATATATTTAAATGTTACACAAATGTATTGAGGCAAAAAGGGCAAAGATATGAGTCCAAACCTAATAGAAATGATAGATTAAAATAGTAATATTGGACATAGATTAACAAGTCAAAACTTATTAAGTAAGACTAATCAATTTACTATATCATGCTGAAGACTAAAAATCCTCACTGAAACCATATACTGAATATTAGTCAATACCATTAAAGAAGACCATAATATGGCATACATACATTGTCATATATTATGTTATGTATAATATGGTTAGAAGTTGTGTTATATATTATAAGTATTAGAAGACAAATGTATCACTATTAAAAGGAAGCATGGGGAGTTACCTGGAAATAACCTTAAGAAACATGAAAATGTTTTTAAAACATAAGAGCTCATTATACTTGATTACAAATAAATATACAGTTAGCAACCCAATCATTATCCTATAAAGAAACAGTGACATAAATATGATAGAAAAAATAGAATATGATAGAAATGTATATTATATAATATGATACATTATTCATATATTATAAAATATACGAATATATAATAGAAGAAATTCTTTTCATAGTAGCATGATAGACACAATGACAACATGAGCACAACATAGTGAAATTATGATATGTGTAATTCTTATAAAAAGAATATTGTAACTGTGCCGTATTAATAAAACCTTGAATAAAAGTCATAATGCCTGATTTCTGGTTATGAAAGGATATTAACTCTACCTTGCATTTTACTTTTGAGAATTTAATCACAATATAATAATAAAGAACAGAATTATTTTGAAGTTGAAACAATGTTAAGTTTATTTAGAATGAAAAACTTATAAATAGCCAGGGAAATTCTGGTAGTAGAAAGGGTATGAGAAAAATTTTATTAATATTGGCTGTTGATAGGAGTATAAATTCATACAACATTCTATGAAGGCAATTTGGTAAAATCCATCACTTTTTTTAAAAAAATCCATCACTTTTTAAGTGTAAGTTAACCAATATAATTGTAGGGATTTATCCTTTAAAATTTTTTTCATGGGTTCATACACACAGACATCCACACAGAGCAAAATTTAAATCCAGAAATAATGGTTACAACAAATAAGTTTATCTACACAGTGAAATAACATTTGACTGTTAAAAGAACCTGGTAGATGCATTACCATGGGCATTGGAAGTATCAATGTATTAACAAGAAACAAGTTGTAGAGAATATGTCTATAGTAAATCTTCCTTTTCTTAAAGTAAACATAGATGTTTATTATACATGTGTATATTAGGAATTTGGAAACAAATACATTATACTATTAACAGTGGATATTTCTCAGTGTTGGGTCATTTGTGAATCTTACTTTCATTTTAGGCATTTCTGTATTAGCTGAACTTTTCAACTACATTTTATAAGAAACATGTAAGTTCTGTGTTAGTTCTTTCAGTTGATTAAAGATTTCATTTTATATCTTAGATTTATTGAAGTACAAAGTAGAGAAAATAGGAGAATATATTTACACAGGTACTTCTATGTCCTATTGTTTTGTTTACCTTGTACAGTGTATTGAGATGGAAAACTGTGGCTACAATGAAAACGAATCCTGTGAGCCAGTCATTTTGTGGATAGATTTATTTTTATGGTTTCCTTAGTGTTTGTCTGAAGGGGAAAAAAGGCATAACATGAGAAGGGAACAATAAAATATCTCATTCTGCACCTTCTCCTATTGACAGGTCTAAGTAATACCTTATTTTTACATATCACCTGTTGTAGGGAGTGAAGTATGTTTATGGGTGGGTACCTATTCATCCTCAGAACATCCTGTTGCCTGCACAAAAGGATCCAAGAGATGACCATCTGAATAAATTCAGCCAAACAATTATCTAATAACAGCTGAAGTTTTTTGAATCTTTGGTTAATTAAATCCAATTAATTTATTTTCTCCTTTCCTTGATTGGCTACCTGATTTGTAATTATGACTGGGTTTTAATATTGTGTAGTGTGGCACAAAAAATGGTAAAACTCTTTCTCTCTCTCTCTCAAATTATCTTTGGCATATTCAAGAATAATTAGAGTCATGTTGAAGGAAATTGTAAATTCCTGATTGTACAAAACCTGATTGGCTTACTTTTTTTTTAAGATTTTATTTATTTGAGAAAAAGAGAGAGAGAGAGCGGGGTGAGGGACAGAGGGAGAGGAAGAGAGAGAATCCCAAGCAAACTTCCTTCTTAGCGTGGAGCCCGATGTGGCTGACCTGAGCTGACATCAAGGGGTGGTCACTCAACCATCCGAGCCACCCGAGGGGCCCCTGATTGTCTAACTTTTTAATTGAGATTCATGACATTTTAGAAGATTTACATTAGGAGAGACATCTAAGTTTCAATCTCCCATTCTTTCATTCAGTATTTAGCAGCTATAATATAAACCTACTGTAAACCCTGGGTATGCACAGATGAACATAATCTTTTAAGGATTATAGTTCATTGGATATACAAACAGTATGATAAAAGTGACTATGAATCAATCAGTAGGGTTTTTACTTTATTTTATTTATTTACTTGAGAGAGAGGGAGCATGAGAGGGGAGAGGGTCAGAGGGAGAAGCAGACTCCCTGCTGAGCAGGGAGCCCGAGGTGGGACTCAATCCTGGGACTTCAGGATCATGACCTGAGCTGAAGCCAGTCGCTTAACCAACTGAGCCGCCCAGGTGCCCCTCAATCAGTAGTTTTAAGAAAACTTACCCACTAAATCAAGAACAGCCTGAGCAAAAAGAATAGGAAAGGCATTCTAAGCAGGACAGATATCTTATTTTTTTTAAATGTAATACTGTTTATTTAACTTCAAAAACATTTCAGCATTCTAAACATACAAAAAAATAACAGAACGTTGCAAATCGTGTTTAGTACAGAAGGTTCTTGAACTTTCATTGATGCAGTGGCTCTTTCGCTTTGCTGACAATGAAGAGTTCCACAGTTTGTTTAAAAACAAACAGTTTAAAACTACCGCACTTAACTAAAAAGGATCCAAACACTTCTCAGGCCAGCTGACCCCCCCCTTCTCCACAGCTTTGAATGGCAGCAGAATGCTAGGTCACTATATACAGAAACAAGACAACCTGAAGCTAAATGGATGCCCACTGCAGTGTCCACAGGTCCAGCCTCACAGTGCACGCCCTGAGCTACAGCCCCTCCAAAAGGCATCTTCCCCACAGCCTCAACGCCAAGCAAGGAGCATCAAGAGTTTGTCTCGGTTGTTTTGTTCTTTTTTACAAACTATAGATATGTACAGTTGATAACTCAGGATTTCTAGCCAATAACCATATAGTTAACACCACCTTACAAATCAAAAAAAGAAAATGCCAGGAACATCTTTAAATGCCTTGTCACACCAACAGCAAAGTGCACAGTGAGGAGAACACGAGAGCCTTTTCATTTTAAAAATGTTTGGAAATATGTACAACTTTGATACAGTTTCAGGGTGCTCTGGACACCCATGGCCACTTCATGTAAACCACTGACAATTTCTAGAGCACTTTGAGAAACTACAATATGACCATGACCCAATTGTGTGATTAAACCTAACGAGGGCAACAGACACGCCCTCCAATAAGAGGTGTGTCAGTGGCAATGACGGCGCTCCCTACTCTAAGGTATTCACAAGGAGACAGATCAACAGTTTCTTTTATTCATCCTCCTCCTCCTCCTCCTCCTCCTCTTCCTCCTCCTTATCTTCTTCATCTTCCTCTTCCACCTTTTTCCGGTCAACTTTGGCGGGACCCTTCGCGCCATCAAACTTTCCTTTAGACTTATAGTCGGCGACATCCTTCTCGTACTTCTCCTTCAGCTTCTCTGCCTTATTGTTGTAAGGTTGCTTCTCACCGTCACTTAAGTTATTCCACATCTCGCCCAGCTTCTTTGCCACATCTCCATTGGAGATACCAGGGTTTGTAGATTTGATCTTGGGGCGGAATTCTGAACAGAACAGGAAGAATCCAGACGGTGGCCTTTTGGGGGCATTAGGGTCCTTCTTCTTCTTGCCTCCCTTAGCTGGTCCATAATCCTTCATCTCCCGGTCGTAGCGCACTTTGTCTGCCTTTGCCATTTCATCGAATTTAGATTTCTCCTTCCCAGACATAGTCTTCCACCTCTCAGAGCACTTCTTGGAAAATTTTGCAAAATTGACAGGGACTTCTGGGTTTTTCTTCTTGTGTTCCTCTCTGCATGTCTGCACAAAGAAGGCATAAGCAGACATCTTGCCCTTTGGTTTCTTGGGATCACCTTTAGCCATCCTGACTGTATTGTTCGCTAGTCTGGGCAGCGCAGGGCACGACGCGCGGCTCAGCGCTCCCCAACCTCGCGCTAGCTGCCTCCACGAGAGCCGCCTCCAGGACAGATATCTTTTGGGAAAAAAACAAAATAGTTAGTTAGCCAGACAAAATCAGTATCTGTTATATTTGGAACAGAAGTTGAGTAAGGTGAAGTGGCAGAAAATGAAGCTTAAGTGGCATTCTTGTATAACGATGTTTAACGAGTATCCTAAAGGGAACCATTGAATCAGGGATGTGCATGTTTAAATTTGTGTCTTTTGGCACAAATTTTAATGAAGAGAATGGAATGCTGTTAGTATCCCTGATAGTGTATGGTAAGGCTAGAAACCATAAACCATTACTTTTAACAATATACATTTCTCAGAATTAATCCTGCACAAAGTGAGGTTAGATAGAAATTGAAATCACAAGGCCTAGACCCTTATCTCTTGGCTTTTCTGGGTCCTGAAAAACTGTTTTCCCAGTTTGTGTGATCATCAAGCAACTCATTGTTTTATTCTCTCTCTACCTTAAGGTTTTCCATCTGTAAAAAATGTAATAGTACCTCTTAGGCTTATTATAAGAATGTAATAAATCAGTATACGTAAAACATATTTCAATATGTGTTAATGTGTGTTAACATTATTTCAATATGTGTTAATGATTTTATCTGTTTTCTGAAAACCCTTTAACACTCTATTTTTTAGATGTTTTAGTCACATATCTTTCTTTTCAATAAATTCTACCTTCTTGTCAGGGAGCTCCTGATAAGATATTTCAATGTGTGTTAATGATTTATATTTCAGTATTTCAGTGTGTGTTAATGATTTTATCTGTTTTCTGATAATATTTCAGTGTGTATTAATGATTTTATCTGTTTTCTGAAAACCCTCTAATGCTCTATTTTGTAGATGTTTTAGTCATATATCTTTCTTTTCAGTAAATTCTACCTTCTTGTCAGGGAGCTCCCAACACTGACATGCCATTTTCTTTCTTTTCTTTTTTCCACTCTCTTAGAAGCCTTTTATAATCCTATGCCTAGTATTTTGTTATTCAGTCTTCTACCTCATGTGAAAGTCTCATACTGCTGGAGCCTACTTTTATTTTTTCCTTCTCTGACTGCTGTAAATGTTTGGAGCTAAGTGTGGTCAAAGCAAGACAAGGTTAGCTGAAACTGAGTACAGTGGACAAGGATACCTGATCCTCATTAGGCAACAAAGACATCTTGAAGACCCATGAGGAAGGGAAACAGAGGGCTCTGACTCTGGGGGGAAAAATAGTGTCAAATCTTAGCCCACACAGCCTTAGTCAAAGGATGAATTTATTCATGTCTTTTTTTTTTTTAAATTTCAGTCTCCGTCCAGACTGACTCAAGAATCAATGTAACAAAGGACTTACTAGACCATGGAGAATTAAGGGAAACTTAATATTGGGGGAAAAGTGAGTAGGATCTTTAGCCATTTACTCAGGCAAAAAAATATCAGTATCCAGTACATAATGGGTTTTGTTTTTTGTTTTTGGGTTTTTTGTTTTTTGATTTTGGGAGGATTTTTTTGTTGTTTGTTTGTTTTTGAATCCCTATCTTTGGTACCAGGGATAGAGATATGAACCTGGCACCATTTTTCCTTGACATGTATAGCTAGTGAAAAAAAAAACAGGAAAATGGGACAATTTGCAGATTGGTCCAATAAGCACTGAGCTGGGGAAAATTCTCTGCTATGGAGGCTCAGAAGACAGCCGCCTGACATGGCAACGTCGTCTGGGAAGTAACATCTGTTGTTGAGGTAGAGCTGTTTATTCTCTGCCATTTGTTTTTGCTGTGTTTTGGTGAGCAATGACACTGAAAGTATGTTTGCAGCTTAGGTGAGGTGCAGAGCCCTGCAGGTGCAATTTGCTGCTGATTAAATAAGGGCTGAAGGTGAAGCCTTGAGGGTGTTCCCTCGCATGGCCTTTGGAATGCTTAGATGAATGATAATCAATAAGTAGGGAACTTTGACACTTGCCCATGGTTTCAGTTTCACAAAGGCCTGGCTTCTCATTAGGGGCACTGAGATATATTCAAATTTCCAACTAAGCCCCACATATTTGATGTTGTATGGAAAGAATAAGAAATGAAAACAATGTGTATATAGATGATTAAACTACAGCTTTTTAATACACTCAAGTTATTATGAATATAGGGGGCTATTACAGGTGACATATCATCATGGTCAGTAATTTTAACAAAACTATGTTCTTGTCTGTCAATGGATTAATTACTCTTTTACTCTCCAATTGAGATTCCGTTCCTTCATTTTTTTATTAGCTTCGTACAAAGGGGAAAAACATGGGAAAGAATTGCATAACAAACAATTTAGTCATTTAAAAATTTACATGGGTAGTACTCTGCTTTAATAATAGTAATAGCTGTTTTGTTTTTTTACCAGTTTCTGGAAGAGGAGCTGTGTGCATATCATCCCTTTTAATAAAGAGCAACCTCATCCATCTATTTTGGAAACAATATTTGTATATATAGAAGGACATCAATAAGCAAGATAGATTTCTACAGCCAAAAGTGATGTTAAAATCTTATGAATTAAATTTCATATCATTTATTATAGGAACAAGTTAAGTCATCTTTCCTGTGAGAATTCATTCTCATATATATATATATGTATATGTATAAACTTAAATTAACTTAATTGTCTTATGAACTTTCCTGAAATAGTCATTGGCTGAAATTGTGGCAAACCTGTTTAGTAAATGTTGCTCTCCTCCAGGAGCTAAGGGACACTCTATTTACAAGTTAATTTTGCACACAAGTAGATTAGTTTTAAATCAGTCTTTCTGAGATGCTATTCATACAGAATATTGAACAGACATCAATCTAAGCAATACTACTTACCATCCTATAGCCTACCCTCCTAAATCTAAGATTGTAAGGAGTTTAAAAACATTTTTGCCTATAACTTACTTTTGCACTAATTTAATCCCAGTTAGGAAAAAAACATGTATTTTTATTATTTCTTTTAAATATTTTTCTAAGAAATTTTAAAAATAGAAAATTATAAAGAAAAATAAAATAACTACCCATATCCTATGATTGACAATTTCTCACATATTGTCATATTCACTTTATATTTTAAATTAACAAATATAAGTATTACAGATAAAATTACTTTTTTTCTTCCCATCACTGAGACCATTACTCACTTCCCTCCACTAGATGTATATTTTGCTTAATTTATGGAACATACATGATATGGAAATGATCACTCTAAACCTTGCTTTCTTTCGCCAGTCACTGTTTTCATTTAAAAGGTCTATCTAGGGGTGCCTGGGTGGCTCAGTGGGTTAAGCCACTGCCTTCGGCTCAGGTCATGATCTCGGAGTCCTGGGATCGAGCCCCGCATCGGGCTCTCTGCTCAGCAGGGAGCCTGCTTCCTCCTCTCTCTCTGCCTGCCTCTCTGCCTGCTTGTGATCTATCAAATAAATAAATAAAATCTTTAAAAAAATAAAAAAATAAATAAAAGGTCTATCCATATTCAATATATGGTTTTAGCTCAATATTTTATCTGTAGTGTAGAATCTCATAAATCTATCACATTTTATTTATCCATCTCTTCAAAGAAGAGCATCTTAGCTGACTTGATACTTTTCTGCATTCCAAACTCTCTAAAAGGAAATTTCTGTCTGCACTTGTGAGAATGTTTTCTAGGGAGTACTTAGATTTATTGGATTGATATATGTGTAATTTGTAGTTTTATTAAGTACTGCCAAATCATACTCTATTTTTTTTTTTACCAATTTACATTCTTACCAGAAGGGTTTGATAACCCATTCCTCACAGTCTTACCAGCACTTTTTATTGTCAGATATTGTTGCCAATCTGATGGAATTAGGCTTTCTCTGTAAGTCTATTTCTATCTCAATAATTTTAAACAACTAAAATAAATATTAAGATAAATATCATCCTAAATCCCATCTATTAATGAAATAATTTGAATATGTTAGAGAGGATATATGTAAAGATGTATTCTAGGAAGAATGGAGCCTGAATTTTCCCAGAGAATTTTTACTATTCTGTTATTTTAGAAACACATATCGCTGAATAAATAGAGCATTAGGATGCAAATTAACTTGATGTAACCCTAAACAAATGAAGGCCAGATTAACTATAGACTTGAGAAGTGTTAGTTTAAATTTACAAATTTGTTGTTTATAATTAAGAAATAATTATCTAGATAGTCCTATTCAAACAAGGTTCTTTTGTGATGTAATGCCCCTGAAATAATTAGAAGAGTGTTATAATGTCACAGAATTAGCAGTAGTGATCAAGAGAGAAGATGAGATTCCAAAAATTACATTGAATTATATATAAAATCTTAACAGAATAAAATAAGCATTAAAAAATTGCATACATTTAGGGGCGCCTGGGTGGCTCCGTGGGTTAAGCCGCTGCCTTCGGCTCAGGTCATGATCTCAGGGTCCTGGGATCGAGCCCCGCATCGGGCTCTCTGCTCAGCAAGGAGCCTGCTTCCTCCTCTCTCTCTGCCTGCCTCTCTGCCTGCTTGTGATCTCTGTCTGTCAAATAAATAAATAAAATCTTTAAAAAAAAAATTATAAAAAATTGCATACATTTAAAAATTTATTTAATAAATAGCATTGGAGGAACTATTAGCTTCTCTACCCTCACTATATCTTTCATTTTTCTCATCACCCTACGTTCCAATTATATTAAATTTTTACTTCTTCAGACATCCCAAGAACTTCAACAACTCTGTCATTGTGTACATTGTTCTTACCTGTGTGGTAGGACTGCTGAAGAGTTCTCTCATCTTTGACGCATAGATGCTAATTTCCAACATCCCACAAGATTGTAAGAACCATGTCACTGGATTTCAGACAACAGAATGTGAACAAAGGAGACATGCCATTTCTAGGTCTCGCCCATAAACCATGACATACATGGTCTTTCTTGTTTTTCTTATTACAGCTGACAGGAAAAATTAAGATCTCTCCTGAAGGAAACCTAAGTGGCACATTTTTTTTTTAAATTTTATCACTGAGGTATAGTTGACATACAA